AGCAAGGAGCCTGCTTCTCCCTCTGACCCTCCCCCCTCTCATGTACTCTCTCTCATTCTCGCTCTCTCAAATAAATAAATAAATCTTTAAAAAAAAAAAAAAAAGAAAGAAAAACACAACTCTGGGCAGAGGGCAAGTATTGTTTTCTTAAAGGAATCCAAATAATTCCACTGGCCAGAACTTAGGGTTGTGCTCAAAGTTTATAGTATTTCCAAATATCAACAAAAGTGTGTGCATGTCATTTCATTCTATCCATATCTGAAGGCCTCGTGGGTGCTTTACTTTGTGGACTTGAAGAAAATTTTACTGAATCCCAGTCTCTTTTCCAGCGTGTCATTTTGTTCTTTGTTCACCATCAGTACATTAACACTTTTCTCACTCAAAAGTCAACAAATACTCGTTGAATGGCTACTGGGAACACACACGCACTTGTATTGCATTTAGGTTCGGTACATCACTATTCCACTAATAAAGCCAATCCTGCATTTCCATCCTGCGTCACACATTTAAAATACCATAACGGGATACGGGACTTTCCTGAAGAGCGAGACTTCCCGGTCCTATAGCACATGCTGGGTGGGAATATGAGTTCTTCAAGGTGACTGCTAACCCATAATGAAGCAAAGTCAACACAGGATTATCAGTTCTTAATGGATCCTTATTTTCTGTTTTCCAGGTATTACCATAAGCAAATGCTTGCCTGGATAGGAATGCAGGGATAAGTTTCTAATAGAACACTTATATTTTAGCACTAATAATGCTAAACTGTAAATTAAATATTACCACAAAATTTCCTAGCGATATATGAATAGTCCATCTAGCTATGGACCATTTATATAGTAATCCCATGCAGGTCTTATTCTCGTCCATCGGAGGAAGCATTTCAGGCAAATTTTAAACAGGAACTAAGAGGCTGTCAGTTTTCAAAAGTAACTGAAAAAAGATTAACGCTTACCTTTGCTAATTGCCTATTAACTGAAAAGTAACAAAGTATAGCAGTAGCTTGGTGAAGATAAAACTAGCAGTTCTTTGGTCCATTTTAACACGAACAGAAAGGAAGAGGTGAAGGCAATAGCTAAAACTTTGTCCTCAGCCAATTTCCCCATCAGGACAGCACAGGATTCCATTTAGAGAACTAGCTCCAATTGTCCAAAAAGCCAAATCCTAATTGTTACTGTTGTTCGTCTTGCCAAACCACAAGGGCAAAAGTCTTGAAATAACTCTAAAAAAAACTTCACAAATAATCAAAACACAAGACTGTGATTCATAATCAGCAAGAGTCTTGCCTTCCAAAAATTAGGAATCTCCATGGTTCTCAAATGAGTGACACACAAACACAATCAAACACCAAAACAAGACCATAGGAAACAAGTCAATGGAACATCGATCACGTTTCAGAGGTTATCCTGTTCTCTCTACGGTGTGAATCACTTGGCAGGTCTGGTTTCAGGTAAAGTGAAAGAACCAAGCATCCGTACCTTTTTGAATTCACGTACTCTGCAGAGCATAGAACAACTGTACAAAAGACAAAGGAAACATTCCAAGGCTCTCCCGTACAGTTTCTTCCATAATGTCAGCATAATGCTTGCGTGTCTAATTACTCCTTTTCTTTTTTTCCCCCTTTTCCATTATGAACCAAACATAAATGGATGAAACACCAAGATAATAAATGCAGGGGGGAAGAGGGGGGCTGCTGGAAAGAAGGGGTAATAATAGTCAGGGTGGCCAACCATCCCAGTCTGCTTGGGATTGTTGGAGTTTCAGCACTAAAAGTCCTACATCCTGAGAAACCCCTGTCCTGGGCTAATCAGGAAGGTCATTCTATTCAAAGATATTTTCTTAAAAAAGGAAAAGAAAGAGGAGTCTACAAGAAGAAATGGGAAAATAAGGTATATGCTCAGAATTTTAAAAGGGAGCAGAGAAGAAATGATAGGAAAACTACCACAAAGATGAATGACTTCAGGGAGAAAGAAAAGGAAATGAAGAAAACAATCGTAGAGAACCTAACACAAGACAGAAGGGAGACAGTAAGTGACAGAAGGGAAGCGTACAGATTCGTTCCAGCACGTTGACGTCATGAATAATAAAGAAGTAGGGGATGAAACCAACCGTACAAAGGGCGTTGCGCAGGCTGGCGCTCAGGGAAATGGTTTCTCCCTGGACAGCTCTGGAAGGGAGTCCAGAAGGGCTGGTGACAACTGTGTTCTCCTGTGTAAAAATTTCAGCTTTTCATGGCTCTCTCCCTTTTCTGCTTTGGTCATTCACCCACCCTAGAGTAACTTAAGTATCCAGAAACCTAGCAGAGAGTTTTCTGCGGCGATGACAGTTCCTGGCACAGATACCCTAAAGTCGGCCACAGGCAAGGCCCCCTGCAGAGGCAGAACCCCTGCAGGAGCTGTAGTTGGTGAGGGGACACAGCTCAAGTCACTTCGGGAGTCTACCATGAGAGCAAACGGGAAATGCGGCAGGAGGGACTAGAAACCCAGACGCAAAGATCACAAAGAGCGGCCTTGGACAGTGGAACAGAGGAGGAGAGAAGATGATCATCACAGAGGACTGAAGAGATGGCTCTCCAGACTTTCCTGCCCTAGTCTGCACTCCAGGGTGTCTAGGAGCAGTGTATCTACAGCTCTGCAGCCAGAGACAAGCCTATTAATTGCACCAGCTACACGCTTTCAAAACAAAGGAGACAAAGCCATTGTAACCGGTTGCCTGGAGTAAAATTTACATCAACAGTGAAGGTTACAGAAAGCAGCTCCTCATTCTTACCCCCAGAGGAAGGGTCAGATATCACTTCATAGTGGTAGACACTGTGAGGGAATATTTAGGACTAGGAGTCTAGAACCTCTTGACCAGAAGAGTCACTAAGCCATGTATGAAATAAAGTCAGGATTCTACAAAAATAATGTTAGTATCCTTAGCTTCCTTCACAATATAAATGCACTCTATCACTAGTATTCTAGTCTACATTCCTGTGAATTTTATTACAGACAGAAATAGATGTAAAGATGAACTTAGATAAGTATGATTATTTACTCACTTCGCAGTTGTCTCTTTATTTCTTTTGCAGGATCTAGCCAGTTCTACAGGAGGAGGGGGGGGAAAAAAAAGGTTAATTAAGCCATAAAACATATTCCAGAGTTCAAAATGGAACAGTTTACAGTTCACATATTTAAGTGTAAACATAAATTCCTATTCCAAGCAGCTTTCACCTATTAGCATTCCACTGGGCTAAGTACTGATTTGTTTTTGAATCTGTGCGTGTTATAAATAAAACATTAAATCACTTTTAAGGTGGGTCTCTTGGGCCTCATTTGCTTGGATCTGAAATCAAACATCTATCCAAATGATGAGACACAATATATCTACATGTAGTCTTTATTCTGTAACAGAATTGCCAGCAATCAGCCCCTGAGGACACTGAAATGACAGCTCAGCCAAGGACAACAATTGGCTCTTTAAAAGATATACACCCCAATCCAACACAATTATCTCAACTCCTAAAGCCAACTTCTAAACTTTCTTTTTCCCTGCAACTATACAATGCTATGGAGAAGTACCATCAGATTGGAGCTGATCGTGTCCTTCCTGCTTTTCATGTAACATCCTTTTTAAACTTCACGTGAAGTGGGAAGTCAAATCATAAGGAACTCCCTTTCACTTCCCCCTTTCTACCCTTTGAGAAAGTTAATATAAAAAATTCTAGGAAACCACTATATCTTAAAGCAAAAATGACCAAATTGGAACTATATACTGATTGAAATAGTTGAGTTTTAAATATTGTGGAGGTTAGGGGTGCTGACCCCCACATACAGTCAAAAATCCACATATACTTTTTTTGACTCCCCCAAAACTTAACTACCATAGCCTACTGTTGACCAGAAGCCTTACCAACAACATAAACAGGTCAATTAATGCATATTTTATATGTTATATGTATTACACATTGTATTCTTATAATAAAGTAAGCAAGAGAAAAGAAAATGTCAAGAAAATCACGAGCAGATACAGAACCATCCTGTATTATTGGAAGAAATCTCTGCATAAGTGGACCCACACTGTTCAAACCTATGTTATTCAAGAGTCAACTATAATTGGCTTTACAATAAATAAGTTTCATTCATTCTAAAAGTATCCCAAATAATGTAACATCTGTGCTTAAACAGAATTTTCTTCAGATATATACAGCAAATAATTAAGATGTTTGTTGTTAGACAGAAAATAACAGCCCACTGTCTTAACAATATACTGAATTGGTATAACAGAACATTAACTCCCACTATTAAAAAGTAGTAACAGGAGGCTTTGCAACAAAGCCGCATAGACCCCCCGGGTTTTACTACACTGCTCATGGCTTGCACTCAGGGCAGCAAGGATCCAAGGTGTGCATGCTCTGTTTTAACACTGGTGATATTCAAATGTCTCAATAAAGAACTACCAGAGCTTGGTTGAGTTTCATATTACTGGTGTCCCAGCTGCATGGCCCCATTGACGAGGAGGGCCAGTGGGATGCTCCAATGGTACCTCCGGTGCTAAGTTAGGAAGCAGCTCGAATTCTCCCCTTAAGAAAGAGCCTGGCATTCAGTTTCCTTGCCCTGCAGCTGCTGTCCCAACAGCCGGCTCACAAATGGCCGGCTATGAGGCGTGCACAAGAGCGAGAAAAACACATCATTCAGTCTCTAGCCCAGGCAGGGGAGAAGCTGGGGAAGAGGCGAAGGAGGGTAGGATGTGTTATGGCATTTCATCCAGGGAAGCAACAACCACAGTAAGGAAACTGAATCAGAGACAACGGCTGCTCAACTGAAGGGGGGGTCCCCTCAAAACATGAACACAGAGAAAGAAGAGAGTAGAAGGGAAATGACTTCACTGGTCTGAAACGACTAGACAGACCCTTCCAGGTCTCTGGTTTCACTATGTGACAGTTGCTACAGATGCCCGGCCGCAGAAGAAGGCGGAGGAGAACGGCGGGAGCAGCGTCATCTTCTGTGACCCCAAGGAATAACCCTGTGTCCCAGTCCCTCGGCACCTTCCACTCTCACCTGCAGCCCCAATCCCTTGCACAAATTCCCTGCTGGGTTTCTGCACAGCATGGAGAGTCAAAGAGCTCTACGGGCCCAGGAGAATGAGTGAGAAGTTTCCTTGCACTAGCCAGCCAGATGCAGACGCGGTGTCATTCTCCCGGCCACTTTCCACAGTATGGCCAGCCAGAATATTGAAAGGCTGAAGTGGCTTCTTTCCCTTTTTTCAGATCCCTACCCACACATGAAGTGGGCCGAGTTTACCTGCTGTGACCAAACAGCAGCTGCAGAAGGGACTCCTGCCACTCACCTACTGGTTTCCCTTTGCTCACCACGCTCACTTCCACACTGTGAGCTCTGCTCCCACCGAGGTCAGGAGGCCTCCTCCTCCTCCCTCACACAACTTTGTAAGGGTAATCGTAGACCCTATTCCTTGTACTTCCTCCACAGTACTTGGCAGCTTTAGACAACCAGTAAGTACTAAATTAATAGCTGTTGACTGATAATCTGCCCACTGCCATGCTCTGGTCATCTTAAAAAACCACAAGTTACAGTATTTTTTTTTAGGGTTGCTTTTATATGAATAATTAGCTCCAATGAGTACCAAGATCCTGAGTAGGATAGAATTTTATCATCTAGGGTCATAAATTCATAAGTAAAAAGGCAAAAAAATGACAATGTGACTTTTAAAAGAAATACAAGTCTATTATCTGCATTATCAACTACAAATTAATAACATATAACATCTAAATATATAACAAATAAATACTTAACAAATAAAAATAAACTTCTTGGTTTTGACACTTGAAGAGTGCTGGATGGATCAAGAAGTAGACACAAAAGGAGGGAAAAAAACACCGAGAAGGGCATAAATGCACACGGGTATATGAATGTGCATGCACGGACACACACATGTACACACTAACCTCCCCCACCATGAGAGATGATGGTGCAAAATTCCAATTCTTTTAAAGATTTGGCCACCATATATATAGACTTTGGAATGAGAGCTACATGGAGTCCAATTCTGGCTTTCACCAACTCTGTGACCTTGGGCTCATTCTTTGGCTTCCTTTAGCCTCAGTTTGCTCAATTCTAGATGAGGATCACAATATGTACCTCATAGGGTAGTTCTTTTCAACCATTCCTTCAAATGCCTCCTGAAGAGTTAAGTACAAATGCAAAGTCCTTTACCCAGTGCCTTTAACAGATGGGCTTTTTTGCAATGATAAATTGACCTATCCCCTTTGGAGAGATATCCCTTCTTCATACAGTTTTGTATTTCCAAAGGTGATATGTTACCTAGATTAAAGAAGTTAATAGTTATATGATTATTTCTAAAAAATTAATAAATCAGACACTCTATATTCATGGGCCAGATGAAATAAAAATCAGTCCCCTTTTTCTTAGAGAAAACTGTCTGGATAATGTCAGCCCTTTAAGCTGTCCTTCTATAGGAAAGAATCTTCGTGGAAACAAAGGCAACACATTAAACAGCACAATCCCTTCTCTAATTACCAGTATGACTAGTCCATAGCCTTCTATGTACATGTTAAAGTATTATCTAGCTAACCTTTACTACGTTTTGCCTGATAAGAATCCATCCGGCAAATTTGTTAAAAAGACAGATTTACCCACGGCCCACCTGAAACATTCTCCAGGGAAGGGACCTGAGAATCTCTGTTTTAAGTGACAGTTGCAGGCAATTCATAATCACGCAAAATGGGGATTTTTCTCAGTGTTTCCCAAACTTTAAGGTACGGGCAACAATGCAAAGCTAAAAAGAGCTAAAACCCACACCGGATGTCAATAAAATTTATCTTGGATTCTTAGAAATAAAAGTATATTGGCAGCTACACTTAAGGGCAGGGACATTCATTCACTCAATCTGGTATCTTTTTTTTTTTTTTTAATTTTACATTTTTAAATTTTTTTTTTTAAAGATTTCCATCTATTCATCATTTGAGAGAGCGAGAATGAGAGAGAGAGAGCACATGAGGGGGGAGGGTCAGAGGGAGAAGCAGACTTCCTGCTGAGCAGGGAGCCCGATGCGGGACTCGATCCCGGGACTCCAGGATCATGACCTGAGCCAAAGGCAGTCGCTTAACCAACTGAGCCACCCAGGCGCCCTCAATCTGGTATCCTTCTCCTCACCTTCCCCTTTTTACCCCCACTCTGTACCCAAAGTATGAACTCAATACATATTTATTTTCTGAATGAACATCAGGGAAACCAAGGAATAAATAAAAATTACAAGGAATCCTATCACAGGCTTCCAACAGAAGTAAACTAAAATTAAAATGGAGTCCTAGAACCCAGTGTTATTGAATCATCTTAGAACATGAAACTGGAAGACTATGAATCAGTTGGGGGGACAAATGATGTATCTTCACTTCCACTAACCTCTAATTGAAATTTAGCATTACCATCAATTATGAATGTAGGAGAAAAAAGCCTGGTTAATATCAGCAGTACCTTTAGCTTTGTCATAGAATTCACTAGACTGCCAAAGGAATAAGTGACACAAAAAAAGGTTAAAAACAAAACAAAAACCTGCCTTAGAAGGTTACAGAAATCTAAGGAGCAAAGCAAATATCTATACACATATTTCTTTTTACACTGAAGTCCTTCTATCAGTTAGAGAAGCTCCTTTACCCTACTCCTGATCACTACAAATCTGAGGGTGAAACAGTCTTGGTTAACCAAGTCTTCTCTACAACACTTCTAATACCTGTTATCAGAAAAGGGTTTAAAAAAAAGTGATTTTCAATTATCCTCTAACAACAAAAACATCTACAAAAAGATAAAGCCCTGATCACAAATCATTACATTTAGATTCACAGGATGCTGGTGTTAGGAAGAACCTCAGAGACTACACGGTCTAAATGTCCACGAATAATGGGAATGGCCTAACGCCTACTGGCTACGGCTGTTGGCACACTTCTGGCACCATGAGCCAGTTGGGCTTATTAGGGCCCACTACTCCCTTGGCTTTTGTAACATTCCAAACCTCTACAATTCTGTCACCTCAAAGCGATCCCCTACATCGGTGCTTCTCCAACCTT